CCACCCGAATCCCCTTCCTCAGGTCCCCACCCAGGGCGCGCGGGAGTCCGGTATGCCAACGAAACAGGAGCTGGGCGGGCCGGCTTAGGGCGCGCTGAGCTCTGGCGCTCGGCGAGGCCGGAACCGAAGAACTTACTGTGCGGATGGAACTATTTACAATCGGGCCGCAGCTGCTGTCACTTCGCCTAAGGGAGGTCCTCGCCGCGGCCCAGGCGCTTTTGTGCAGTTCTGAGCCTTGCGCCCTGCCCGATTTCCAACACTCCAGCCGCCGCCGCCGGAAGCAAAGTTTCTCCCTTGTCCCTGCCCTTGCGGTGCACGCAGGGCGAGTCCACCGCCTGGTGGATCTGGAGGAATCGGATGTGACTTTTCAGGCAGAGCCGGTAACTCCCCGGTGAGCGCGGCTCACTTGGCATTGTGTGGAGGGGCTCTGTTTGCAAAAGCCCTCATTTGTGAGCAGCGAGGACCGGCCCGGAAGGTCTGCCGGGATGCCGGCTAATGGACACAGGGTACCTGAGTTCCACTAGTATTGTCAACAGCCTCGGGGACAAAGCCAGACCGCGAGTGGAGTTGGCTTCCACCACTTCAGACCGTCGGGGCTGGTAATTTCTCCTTTATTTGGCTTTGTGTAATTTGCCAACAGGTTTGAGGTTCATTCTGCCAAGTTTGTGCCCATAATGGGATGAGTAGGCCCCACTCTGGGCCAGAGGGGCCTTGGACATCTCAGGGCCTGCTCCTGTGTTAACCCAGAAAGAAGAGAACCCAGAGACCGGTGGGCGGGGCATCTGGGGACCCACAGGTAGGATCCACAGTCTCTTCCTGGTCTTGACCTGTCCAGGCTTCAGGAAAGGATTTTGTGTAGGAAGGAAACTCCATCGGCGTGTTTTTATGCGGCAGTTTGATCTGGTTATCAACAGTGGTTTTCAAGTCTTAAAAGTGAAAAAAAAATTAACCTAGCTGCTTTAACTTATCAGAGTAGATCTCCAGGCTTCCCGAAGCACTCCCAAAACTCACTTACCCAGGCTTTCTAGATGAAACGGGTGAATTAATAAAGGGACGGCAGGCATGTTCAGGGTTGTGTGTAGAGAATGGTGGTGGGCACTCAAGGGAGAGGGAGCGCTGAACTTGAGCCCTGCTCTGGAGCAGGGCTGAAGATGTGTGCACCAGGGTGAATGTCACAGACAAGGTCCACTTCCTACAGTAGGCTGAATAGTGCTTTGATTGGAGAAATGGCCAGGTCTGGGAGGCTTGCTAGCTACCTGTATCTGTCTGAAATTGAGAACTTTGCACAGGGGTAAGTGAATAGGGAGGTGTGGCCCACTTCCTCTCTGCTCTGAGCTCTTGTACTACATGGCAAGGGGACAGATTGTAACCTGGATGAAGCTGGGGGCAAGTTGCAGCCTGGAGAGTTGGCCTTCATCATGCCTCTGCCCACTTGAGTGGATAGGTGGCCTACAAAAGGTGGGCCGGGGCGAGTCACTGTGGTCTCCTTCTCTATTTCAGTTTTGCTTTATCAAATGCTAGGCGCTTACACTTCTTCATGCCTTCTTGTCCGGACCTTGTCGTGTTCCCAGTCTCTGCAATTTGTGTTGGGCCTTACTGAGCTTTTCCAATAAGCAGCAGATCTTTTACACACAGCATTTGAGAACTATGCTTTCATTTTTATCAAATTCACCAGAAATCTTCCCTGTGGGTGCACAAACTGAGTCAGCTTTTAAGATATTCTGAGTCCCCTTGATGACACAGGATGACCTGGGATCCTTTTTTCTTAGGGGCCGGGATACTAGGGATTGAACTCAGGACCTTGTACATGCAAGGCAGGCAGTGGCACCACTGAGCTACATCCCCAGCCAATGGGATCCTTTTTTTTGGTCACTTGGAGTAGCTTAATTTGCCCTGGCTGGGCCAGGCTGTGTTGTCTTCTGGGACATGTGTGTTGCAAGGTGTGCAGCCTGGCTTGCTGTGTTGCTGGTGGTGGCAAAGCCTGTGGAAATGGTATCCTGACATTCGAAAGGAGGCTGAAAGCTGCAGATGGGGTGGCTTTCCGTGTTTGGGAAAACTGGTCACTTAACTTTTTTCACAAATGAACTGAAAACTCCCAGCAACTCCCCCCAGAGGTTGAGTGAATTAGTTTTCCCATCCAGAGCCACTGCAAAGCTTCCAAATTGTTTCTCTTTTTGAAAATGAGAGATGGAAACATTTTACATGTGTTTTCAAGGGTCTTGAGCTAAAGTACCTATCCTGTGTGTATTTGGTGCCAAGAGTTCAGGCAACTGTGGAGGTCAGGGCTATCACAGGTACGCAGCTGCACTGAGTAGTTTTGTCTTTCCTTTAGGTTTCTGGTAGTGCAATTGAACCAATTAGACTTTTAAATTTTCTGCATTTCTCTTTGAAATATCCCAGGGTACATTTGTTACTGAAGGTGAAGCAACAGGAGTGAGTTACACCCTTACCCAGAGCATACACAGACGCAAATGTGTGTGCACATGCGCTCACAGATGCACACACACACACACACACTCGTACATTCCTACCTCAAAATTCTCCTTCCTTGAAGCTGTGGAAATGAAAAGGCTCTTTTGGTTGATGTGGCGCTGTCCCAGTGTTGTCGTGTCCCTGCCAGCCTCTTGTTTCCCTCTGGGCTCCCTTGCTTGGCCCCCTGGGTGTCTCAAGTTCTCTTTCATTCCTTTCTTCACTTCTTACCAACTTCTGTGTAGAGGAGGTGACTTTGTCCTTGGACCTCCATAGTGCTTTGTGTCTCTGATTTGGCATTTGGGACACTTTCCCCAGTGGTCTGTTTGTGTTGCATTTGCAGCAAAAGTTTTAATTTTTTTATTGGTGATGGTTTTAGGAAACATCGAGCACTCTTGGAATTTAAATACACTTTGAGGAGCCTGAATCCGAAATCTGCCATGCTCCCAAATCGGAACCTTTCTGAGAAACAGCAGGAGGCCACAAGTGGAAAATTCCGCACCCGCCCTCATGAGGTGGCTGCAGTCACAGTGCAGGTGTGCTGAAAATACTGTATACAGTCACCTGCAGGCTGTGTGTGAAGGTGTGTGTGACACAATGGATTCCTCAGGCTTGATTTTTAACCATGTAACTAAGGTAGCAGCAGGGTAACCAGAGCTTGGCCAGAGTTTCCAGTTTAGGCGGATAGACACTTCCCATTACGCATGTACCTGTTCCAGAATCTGAAATACCCAAAATCTGAAATGCTTCCAGTGTCAAGCTTTTTGGATAAAGGTTATGCAACGTCTGTACCACAGTTTCTTCTTTTTAAGACAGTATTAAAGTTGGATGCAGTGGTACTCACCTGTAACGTAAGCACTCGGGAGGCTTAGACAAGAGGATCTCGAGTTTGAGTTGAGCCTAGACTATATAATGAGATCTATCACAAAAACAAATAGATAAATCAGTAAGTAAAAACAACCTAGTATTGGCAAATAGGATGCTTTTGCCGGACCATTGTTAACGAAGACCTGCCATCCACGATGAGATGAGAATAATGTGCCCTGACGTTTGTGTGGTGGTTTATAGTTTATAAAACCCTCTCACAGGTGGCATCGTATTCCATACTCTAAACAATGCGGTGAAACAGGTCCAGCCCATGTTTCTGGGGGATGGGGTTTGGCTCCAGCACACAGAACTCAGCTCAGGTCCCTCCAAGGGGCCCAGTCCTGCTAGGCTGGTGGTGGTGGAAGACCTCAGGGTGCTGGTGGGTGAGCAGGTGTAGTGGGCTGGGGGTGGTATGAGCTGTGCCTGGTGGGTGGCAGCTGTGTCAGAGTCTGCGGGCCTCCAGCTGACCCCACGGACAGCCATCTGAGGGGGCGCTGATGGGGTGGGCTCAGGGCACTATCTGCGTATCGTGGTTGCTTTGAAGAGGAGGTGGCTTCAGGCTCAAGAGAGTGGGTTCCTGCTCACTGCCTGTAAAAGGCAGTTCCCTATCCCTTATGGAATTCCTTGGCCCAGGCCAAGCAGCAGCACTTACTTTCTCATGGTTCTGGAGGCTCAAAGTTCGAGGTCAAATGGCAGTGGTGCTGGTGTCTGTGGGGTCCCTTCCCCGCCTGGTGCACTTTCTGCTTTGCCCTCCATGGCTTTGCCTCTGTGCACGCAGGCTGATGTCTCTGGGGCTCTTCCTCTTCTTGTGAGGCCGGCAGTCCCTGTTAGGTGGGCCTTGTTACCCACCTTCCTGTCTCATCCCAGGTGTACTCCAGGTGTCAGCGGGCTCTGCAGCCAGGGATTCATCAGCTGCAACATCCAAAGTATTTGCAGTTGTTTTTATCTGTATGGCTTATGTATAGGCTTTTGTTGGTTATTATCTGCTCAGCAATACAATGATTTACACATCCTTTACATTGTGTTAGATTTTTTATTATTGTTTACTTTTCTGAGAAGGGGTCTCACTGTGTAGTGCAGGGTGTCCTTGAACTCACTGCGTAGCCCAGGCTGGCCTCAAACTCATGATGATCCTTCTGCCTGAGCCTCTTGGGTGCTGGGACTACAGGTGTGCGCCACCACACCTGGCTTGTGTTAGGTAATGTGAGTAATCTAGAAATGATACAGACTATATGCAAGGATGGATGCAGGTGATGGCAAGTGTTCTGTGCCATTTTACAGAGCTCCTTGAGTGTCTGAGGATGTGGGTCCCCGCAGAGTCCTAGGACCAGCCCTGCAGGCCACCAAGGGGATCCATGCATTGCCACCTGGGGAGTAAGACTCCATATTTGCCGTCTGTGTCTGTGTTCTCATTGAGGTTGGTGACTTTAGGCCTGCTGCTGCTCCCTTGTCCAGACCTATGGGCTCTGCCATCTGAGGCCAGTGCCAGGACAGGTACAGTGCAGTAAGAAGTTGGGTGGGAGGGTCAGCTCATTGCAGAAGCAATATTGGGGAGGTGCCTGGGCACTGGCTTCCCCAGGCTACTCAGGCCATGAGAGGAGTGGTTTAGGAGAGAAGTCTGGGTTGATTGCACTTATAGACGCTTCCCTCTAGGCAGGCAGACACACCTGCATGCAGATGCTCTGTGGTTTGTGTTTTCTTTATGGCGACCTCAATATAATTTAAAAAATATGAGCAACTCCTGGATTATGTATGGAAAGAAAAACACTTCCCAGCCAGAAGGTGAATCCGGGATGGCCCCTGGCCTGCTTTGCTGAGACCCACAGCCTGGGACATGACCCAGGCCTGTTCTGGAGCCGGCCTGCTCATGGGCCAGGTGCCCTCAAGCTCCTCATTGGTTTTCTTCGGGCGGCTGCATGAGGCAGGGTATCCCATAAGGCTGTGCACTTGCTTACGCCAAATGTGTGTGTGCCCCTGCCTTGTTTGTTTGTCCATCCATCCATCCATCCATCTGTCCGGACTAACCAACTTCTCCCTGATGCTTCCACCGAACTCTTTGTGTCCCCAACAGCACCATTTCCCTTTGCCTGCCCTCACTCTCCTTGCTCATCCAGGGCTCTGCTCTTTCCTCTTTAGTGCCCCTCTACCCTTGAAGATCTGTTTTATCAGCTCATTTGACTCCACCTCCAGAAGAGGTCTCACATCTCAGCCTTGCTTTCCTTCTTTGCTCTTTCGCTTGGACATCCAGGCACCTTTCTGACCA